TTTTTTTTTTTTTTTTTTTTGTTACTATATCTTCATTCTATTTTAAAATAAAAAATTTTCGCCCCTATTTTTCAGAGGCTTTCACACATATTTTACTTAACATAGTACAAAATTATTGTAAATCATTGGTCCTTTAAAAGCCTCTTTAAAAATTATAATTCTTTCATTGGTGTTATAAAAAAAGGATTTCATTAGCAATGTAAAATTATTCTTTTTTTAAATTTTTTTTTCAATTATAACCAACATCATACATATAAGAGACGATACCCTTATTATATAGGCCAGTTGCTATAAAAGAGAAATTGCCTAAAAATATCTCTATTTTAATACTTTCAGAAGGAAACAAAATCGACAGGACGCAGAACAACAGCAGCACTTTATGGATTCAGTTTGTGCTGGTTATCATGCATTGCTGCGTATTTTTCAATATCTTAAGGTACAAGAATTACTTCGGGCTGCAAGAGTGTGTAAAATGTGGCGAGATTTAGCGGCACATCCTTCTTTGTGGAAAACTGTACGAATGAAAAATAGTCAAGTAACAGACTGGGATGGTTTAGCTGATACATTACAGAGGCGTGGCACTCAACATTTAGATCTTCGAAAAATGCTTGTGGCAGGCGAATCCGACAGCATTTGGAAAAAGTTTTTATTAGTAATACCACGAGTAACTAGCCTTGTTAAACTAGAATTGTGTAAATGTCCTGTGATAGTTGTTGAAGAAGTTATCAGAAGTTGCCCTCAATTAGAAGTATTGAGCGCAATGTCGATAAAATGTGATTCTTTGAATTTAGAATCAGTTGGAAATCTTAAACGTTGTCAAGAATTAAGGCTTAAAGCAATCAGTGGAATGTCATTACAAGAAGATCTCACACGTTTACAAGAATTAACGCAATTAACACAGTTGGTGAGTATATAATTATTTCTATTTACATTCTTTAATTGCAATTTTTGAATTTTCAATAATTAAATCAAATTTATATTTCACAGAGTTTAACATCGGTTAAGGAACTTGGGAAGAAAGGAATTGATATAATACAAACTTTAGTGTATTTAGAAACACTAGAATTGGGTGAATGTTCGGACTTCCCAGATAAATTTGGTACCACAGTTTTAATAAAGTTGCAGAAATTAGAACGTCTTAGGCTGGAGAAAGGACAAGGTTCATGTTGTACATTTGACATTTTGGAAGGCGTGTCTAAATTGCAAAATTTGATTCAAATGGAACTGGTTAATTTTGACGTCAAGAATGGTTTTGATAAATATCTTGCGAATTGCAAAAACATTAAAAGATTATTGATCATACCAACGTACATATCTCAGTCGGCAACATCCAACAATATGGTGCTTGGAGGTGTTACTGAATTATCAAATAATTTGACGCATTTTGTATGGGGCGTTACACTTGAGTTACTCAGGGTTACAGAATTATTTGTTGATCAATGTAATCTAATGAGTAAACAGGTAACTGGAGATTCGATACCAGTTTTAAAACCAGTACCTTGCTTAAAATTAATCGAGGATGTTGAGGATGAAAATGACAATCAAAAAGGTACTTGCATGTGTTTTTAAAATATGTACATTAATGTACATATACGTATCTCCATGTATTATATATAAAAACTGTAAATGTATTTTATAAATAGTTGTACATATTTTCTTTTATTTTTT